GGAGAAAAGCTATCCCTTTCCGAGACTTCCAAGGCACTTGAGCAGTCAGGATTTAATTACCGCCAGCATATTAGGATGTTCTCCGAGCTTCTTGGGAGAAGAACGGAGCAGTAGCGGGACCAGGAGCGCAGGCAACCCACACGTTTACTCAGAGGGCTCCTCTCCGAGTTTGCTGAATCATGAACAACTCTGACGCAGGGAATTCTCTCACTTGTGCACATCTCACACTGTGCCGTGGTAGGGTACAGCTCCGGCTTACGCTGCGTTTTCATTTGGCTCGGGGTGAAAGGTGCTCAAGTTTAAATATCTTTTCCCTGTTAACTCATTTGCACAGAGTCCACTGCATCCACGGTGTCTCAGCCCTGGATCCGGGGAAAGATGCTCGTCTGAGGTTTCTCCGAAGCTTCCTCAGAGGCCCTTCAGTTCACGAGAACACTGTTACCAAGAGATTAAATGAATTAAAAATTGATGGCTGTTCTGTACTGGATGTCTTGCAGTCAAGGATATTTAAACAGATAGCAGGGAGAGTGGGGGGAAGATTGCTTGCCAGGGTATTTTTTCCTGTTTTTAAATAATAGTTTTATGGGGGCAGGGAGAGGGAAAGGCAAGGGTGGAGCCAGAGTAGTGTCTGCTGGTCCTGGGTAAGGAAATTTGTCTTCTAGATGCAGTGTCAGGAAAAAATGAGAGAGCCACTTTGCCTAAATGGCAGAGTAGCTACCCAGGGAAAAATCAGTGGATTTTGCAGATTGTTTGAACCCAAATGGCCATTTGCTGGGCTTATTGCAGGTCCACATCTGCCTTGGGTTTATGAGGCTGCTGAGGTTCACTCGATGCCGGGTTCTCAGTTCTTTAAACCAAGGCTGAAGTTTTCAATGATAGCAGTGACTGTGGTTCCTTTGTCTTTTGGTCCCCAGCTGGAGAGCACTTTAAAGGAGCTGGGTTTTACAGCACCTGCTCTGAACTTACTGGGTATCGTGAGGTGAGTGCTCCAAGGCACCTCTCTTTTAAAACTGATACCTGAACTCCATCTGCACCCAGGCAATGTTCTCACCTGAGGGCGATTTGATCTGCCTGGCTTCGTTCTGTTAGCAAACAGGTGTGTAAAGTGGTTTCTGTGCACAGCCTTTGTACCTTCCTCCAGCACGAAATGTCACTACTGTCTGGCATCGCTCCAGTCTGGAGTGGTGGTGCCTGTCCCCATCCCCTGCCCTTACCTGCAAAAACATCAGGGCTCTGAGTGTCGCTGTCAGTGGTTTCGGAGGAACAGAGAGGAGTTTTACTGTCTGCAGTGAATTCCCCTGCTTCAGATTGCATCGGTTATGAATATGAAATTGGAGTTCAAGTTCAGAGAAACAGATCCACTGAGCAAACAGGTTCTTGGTACACATCCCTGAGTGTGTGTGGAGGAGGACAGAGCACTGAAGGAAGAGCAGACTCAGCTTCCTGTGTTTTGAAGCAAAGTTCAAGCAAACACCAAAACTTGTGACATCTCGTCTTGGCTGAGGGATGAATAAATGCCTCAGTAGGTCCCCAGGACAAAACAGATGAGATCCTTCCCCATATGGTTGGCTATATTGGCTAACTAATTAAAATCCGTGGTCTCAGTGACCACCCAAGCTGTATCTTCATTGCTCCTTTAGAAACTACTAATTTCCTCAGAATTAAAATAAAATAAAATAAAAAATTCATTCTGAAGTGGCTATTATACCGTCTTGTAAGCTTATATTACATATGCACCGCCTTAGTTATAAGACCGTCATTCACGTACCGAAACGTAAGTGACCCGGTTACAGAACAACAGTCGTGAATTTATTTTTCATTCTCGTTTTCCTCCCTGAAACGAGCCTGTTTTCTTTGGAGAAGAATGGGGAAGGAAAGTCTCAAATAAATGGATGTAATTGCCTTCATTAAAAGCTGGCTGAGCGGGGTTTATCCTGTGGGGTCTCCTCTCTCTCTCTCTCCGAGGTAACTTCTCATGTATTTTTAATGGGAAACTTATTACCAATCAAACCTGTATTCTTGCCCTGGTACATGAAGGTGGATGTTCGGCACTTTTTCATCATGCTGGGTCTCCCGGGAAGAGCAACTCATTACAGCGTCAACTGTCCCTGCCCTTTGCAAAAAGCCCCACCAAGGTCATATCAAGAGGTGATGGATAAAGCCGAGCTTTAACCCTTGACCTTGGCTTTCCTGGTGCGGAGGGTTAATAAATCTGCATTTAGGGTGGAGGTGCTCTCCCAGCTGCTCTTTGTTTGGGAAAGGGGGTGAAATGCTGACGCACAACAGGTTGCATTTCCTAGGGCGCTGCCTTCCCCTTCCCCCCGCAGAGCCCCGCATCCATCGCGGGAGGATGCCTGTGAATATGGCTCAAGCATCTGGCAGTGCTCAATCCACACCGTGAACCATCTGAGGCATTTTACATACACAGGCCCTCCTATTTTTATAGGGGAACGCTTCCTTGGTATGATGGAAATCAGCAGAGCTTACTGCTGGAGCCTGTGGGTGAGGCCCAAACTACATTTACCCATGTCGTTGTCTTCAGAGTCGTGTTTGAGGTGACCTTCCGGAGGCTAAGACTTTTAAAATGCTTCTGCTCACTGCCACACCCAAGGGGAAGCAGCACTGTTGAGTACGAGCAGCAAACAAGTCCTTTGAGAGGCTCCAGAAACCGTAGGGGTGTACTCCCTGTGCCCAGCAGCCTCTTCCCAAGTGGCCAGAAAGCTCTTCCCAAAGTTGTTTGATGTCATTGCTGTGCATCTGGGATAGAGCAATGCCAGCAAAGGGGACAAAGGGGCTCGTTTTTTCATTTTTTTTTTTCCTTCTGCTATTCTCAGCCCATTTTCCTGTGCTATCCGTAGAGAGTAGCCATGGGCTCACTCCATCTTCTGCATCATTTTTCCTAGGCAGCGTAACGCTGCTGGCTCCCAGGTCGCCCCGTGGTGAAAGGGGCCTTTTGGGGCACACCTCAGCCTAGATTAGAGAACGAGCAAACTAATGTCCTGGGCTGGTGCAGCATGTTCCCGTGCACTCTGTTTCTTTTCTGATGAAAAGTATTGCCCTAAATCTTCCGGTGCGTGAAGGCTGCCCGTGGTAAGCGAGGTGGAAAAATTAGCTCCAGCACAGAGCTACTCGCAATGGCTCTGGGCATTTCAGTGCTGTCATCTTCCAGGGAAGTTAAATTGCTTTGTTCCCTGTATCCAATTAGCCCTATAATCAACTTAGCAGAATGTGGAGCAGGAGTGTGCTGAGATCGGGTATAGTCATTTTGTCAGAGGATATGTTCAGATTGATCTCAAATTGGGGCGAGGACCCATGAGGAGATCTCAGAGCAGAGGGCAGAGACTGTACCAAGCCAATCAGACCTGGAGCCTGCACAGCACCGGGGGCTTTCTGTGCACTGCAGGAGGAAAACATCAGTACCAGGAGAAACATCAGAAACGCCAGAACTACCAAACCCAGAAATGAATGTTGCAAACATTTGTTTTTAACAAATTTTATGTAAACGCTCAGGTTTGCTCTCAAAAAAAGCAGCCAGCAGTATCACTGAGAGGTGAGAGGTGCCAGGATTAGCAGGTGAGGGCAATTGGCTCTTGGGCTTTCCGTGCAGCAAGGCTTTGCCCTGTGACTCTGCAATTTGTTTCAACTTTTTGCCAGGAACATGTTTAAGCTCCTTCTTCCCTGGTTTCTGATCCTAGATAGGATAAGTAGCTGGAACGAAGCCCTTACACCTTTAGAGGAAGATTTATAACCTCACGGTTTGTGCAGATATATTAGAGGGAGAGTTCACAGCCCTGCGGCGAATCGGCCAGCACTCTGGAAAAACGTGACCTTTTTTCTCAGCTCCTTTGCAGTGGGCAGCAGTCCAGCATTTGCTTTGCATGATTAGCCAAGGTGACAACCGATGCCAGAGCAGTTCAAGGTCTGATGCCAATGGTACAACCAACTCACGTCCCGGGCAGGCTCTCTGAGGCATCCCTGCTCCCTCTTGGGGTAGATATTTCTGACAAATGCCCACTCCTTCAGATCTGCCTCATATTTCGTCTTCTCATTTAGGATCGTGTTGTGGGAACTCAAATTTTGGTGCACTGGGTCCCATGGCAGTGCTGGCCTACTGCTGTGTAACGCGTCAGGCTGCCTCCAGATCAGAGGAGCCACAACTTGGCTCATCCCCGGTCTCTCTCCTGCTAAGATGGGACATGGAAATGAAAAGCCTGTGGTTCTGCAACTGCATGTAGTACAAGCAGTATCAGCTTAAAAGCACGAGGCAGGAGTCAGTTCAGAGTGTTTCGTGTTCAAAGCATGAGGCTCGATGGATTTCTCTACGTTCAGGAACTCCCTGCTCTGCCCAGCTTCGTCCTGTGTGGGACAGGTTTCCTGCTGACTGCAGGTTGTGTGAGCCCAACAAAAGGGGTGGGGAAGAGATCTTTTGAGTGCCCAAACATGTATCTTTGCCCTCACCCCACATCACTGCCCTTTACGGTTCAAATGTCCTCAGCATGTCCACAGGGGGAGGGTAAACAAGCGCGTTTCTCTCCCCTTGCCGTGCCGAAGCCAAACAAACTCTGCACCTTTTGCAGAGAGGGTTTAATATTTTCCTCCTTGTAGTCTCCAAAGCTGTACGGAAGAAAAGGATGGTGATAAGCCCGAGCAGGAGCCCTCTCTGTCTCCCAGGTCAGGGAGAGGTCAGTGCGCATTAAGGGAATATTGCTGGTGCTTCTGTTGTTACAGAAAGGCCCAAGCAGTTCAAAGCCAGGCTGCATCATCTGTGGCTGAAAATCATCTGCAGTGCTGCTTCCTGAGCAGCAGATTGGCTTCCCATTACACGGGCTAATGAGAAAGTGTCACAAGTGGTCTCAGTAATAGTGTTGTAGCAACCCCCCCCACCTCCCCATCCCCTTTCTCAGCTCACTTGCAGAGATTTTGATTAAATTAAAAAAAAATAGAAAAAAAAAAAGAAAGAAAAATGTATATTCTCTCAACTCTTTCTTTTCTATCCTCAGCCTCAAAGTACTGAATCTGGAAATCAAAGCAATGGGATCAAGAGAACTGGAGGCGAGAGGTGCGTGTGCCTATAACACTACCTGACTGCAATGCCACTGAAGCCCTAAGCACGGCAGAGCAACTGGCTCCCAAAGGCAGTGCGTTGTGTCCCTGGCATCCTCAAGTCAAACAGCAGCATTTTAGGATTTTCCAGACAAAGGTATCAGATTTTCAGACGTGCCTTTTTTGCTCCTCCCTCTCCCCCCACACCTCTCGCTGGCCAGTCTTCCACCTGGCTGCCAACAGCAGAGCAAAGTGGCCTCGAATCCCCCCAACCTCACGCCAGTTTGCAGCAAGGACTCGGGACATGGGTCAGGACACAAATGAAAAGATGCTGGTCGCAAATCAGAGTTCACTGCAGAGCCTCCTTGTCAAGATACAATGAAGGAAGGTATCTGACCTTCTGAATGCAACACCACGGGGGCTCCTACTGGGCTGCTGGGCCTGCAACAGTGCTGAGCTGTTGTTTTATTACAAACTCTTTTTTTTTTTTTTTCCATGCAGTCTGTCTCTTTTGTGTTTGGAGAGCTGAGGGGGCAATACAATGCCCTCTGCCCCTTTCCTCGCTCTGTTTCCAGTGCAGCTCCGGGGATGGAAACCAGCAGCCTTTGTTATATACTACCACGATGCTGACAGGTCAGAAAGCATCAGGATCATAAACTGCTTCATTCCAGGCTAAGGCCAAGGTTTGCAAGGATCGATTTTCCTGCCTTGCATGCTTCCTGAAGCCCTCACTAATTGCACTCCTTTTCTTATGAACTGTTGCATTAACTCTGGCTTTCTAAAGACCCCCACCAGAAACATCGCAGACATAAAACCAGAGGAGCACACCACAGCCTTGCGACACAAGTGTTCTTTGTCTCACTTGTTTGCTACCCACTGCTGTGTACTGTACATTTTGTAACAGAGGTTATTAGAGGGAGAAGCTCTTCCTCTGGGTCAAGCCAAAACCTCAGGAGAGGAGATGAAGGGTGGGCAAGTCCTTTTTCCCTGATAAGAGGTGGCACGGCACAGCCTTCCCAAATGAACGGTGGGGCGGGCAGCAGGCTAAAGGGGCAGCAAGCAAAGCAGGGAGCAGACTGAGAAGCACTTAAGGGAAGAAGAAGGCCTGTCTGTGACAGGGGAACTGCCTTATGGCAGTGTTGGTTTGGCTCAGGAAACCACTGAAAGTTGAACAAAGATTAGAGGAATGGGCCTACCTACTCGAGATCCAATGGATAGAGGGAACACGGTTTACCAGCCTCTCTACTTAATCTGTTTCAACCTGAATTTTCCCTGTTGAAATAACTCGCCTACCTTTGAATTACTATTTGTGTATTTTAGTAACACCTGATTTGAGAGACTCAAGTACTCTGGTGTCTTGTGTTTGATGGATTCAGATGGAATAGAGATGGGATAAGAAGGTCTGCCTCCAGGCTGTGCTCTGTTTTGGGCACACACAACCTGCAAAGTGGGGTCTGTTCCCTAGGAAGGTGTTTGCTGCCATCTGCATCACTTGAATGAAGAGAATACCCACAGGCACTGTGCTCTACTTAGGCTTACGGGGCTCCAGGGCTGCCTCTAGGCGTAGGTCCCAAGGCCCTGAATATCTGGACCACCACTGCATCGCCATCTCAGTGTCTCACCTGAACATCTTTTATGTGCTGTCGTAGTTTGGTGTCTTACTGGTTCCAGCCCAGATGTTACCCCAGCAAGCAGCCAGAAATTTACCGGCCAAGACTGAAGGAAGCTCTGTGCCCATGGGTCAGTTTTACTTCAACCATGAAACGAGTCACAGTTTCTGAGCCCAGAAAGCTAAACTAGAGCATCCTTTATGTTTAATCCTCACTAGAAGCCACGGTACATCCAGTGTATCCTTTGGTAAATTACAGGCTTCAGATGGAAGAATAAAAGTGGAAAAGACCAAGAGCGTGCATTTTTATCACAGTGTCACCTATTCTTTTCAGCATGTGCCTGATGGGATTTTGACACCCAATCTCATATTTCTTCTAAGAAAAGTAGCTTTTACCCTAAGGCACAGTTTGGGTCAGGCTGTGTTCTCTAGAGGAAGTGATTACTGTTGTAAAGTTGGACCGTCATTAAGGGAGGAAGTGTGAAATCTTTCTTGGTCATTGGTAGAAAGTTTGCCTTAATTGGCAGTGGGCACCATCTCAGAAACAGGCCAGTCTAACAGCATAAGGCCAGTTAGAGTCACCTCTCCTTTCTGCAAATAGGTACGACATTATGAGAACTATTTAAAGAGAGAGGAGACAGAGAGAGAAGGGACAGGGAAGAAACAAGTCAAATATTCAAAGAGAGACCAGAATGAAGTCAGTGATGTTTGTGACTCTTCTGGTCATCTGAGATTAGAGTGACTGAGGATTTAGAGCACATTAATGCATAGGAATTCTATACACTGGTACACATTCTCCACCTAATCCTAATTAAGGAGGGATGCTGTTCCATATCTATTAGACTGCAAAAAGATACAGCCGGACTGTGAGCTCTGTGCTAGACTTCTCCTGGGATTTTTTAAGGCTTGGTTAACCAGGAGTCCTGTGAAATTGGGACCTAGCACTTGGGAGGCGGCCCCTCAGCTACTCTGCTCAGCCCCCAGACTAGAAGTGGCATTGCAACCCGTAATAAAGCCCTGGGACTAACAGTCGGGACAAATCATGGAGAGGAACATCACTGTGGTTTAAGCTGTCAAAACAGTAAATGGGAACAAGAAGAAGTGATGGCTGAAGGGAGGAAAGCTAATAGCTTTCAGGGCACAACAACACTTATGGGTTAATGCATCTCTGTGGTCTTGGCGGCATTTAAAGCTTCCCTGCCTTTGCCATCACATAAGAATGGGGAGGCATAACAGCTCAGAAACAGAAAACATTTCAGCCTGAGTTTTGCTTGCTCTGTGTCATTGCCATTAAATAGAAACTGTCCTTAGCAGGCACCTTCAAGAGAAAACTACTGAGTGGGAGAGAGGGAGCTGAGACCTCGGTGGACTGCCGTCTGCTGCTTCCTCTCTTTCAACAGTGCAGATGTTACTTTCCAGCCGCGTTTGAGAGAGAAGCCCTACTGTTTGAGGATGTTGAGAAGATTAAGGGATTAAACAGAAAGGGCTCCACTGCAAGAATTTCTCTTCCAGCTGGTGCTCAGTTGGGGTAGGAAGTTTTCTGAGATAGATGCAGATATGTTGTGCATACAGATATATTTGGCTCCTCTGATTAATTTAATGTTAATACAGTGTCATATTTTTCCTTTGGAGAAAATTAGAGTAAGATAATGCCACATGCTGTCAGTCTTAAAAGGAAAATCAGTAGGGACAGATGAAATCCTAAAATTATTTTTTTCAGGCTTCTAGTTCAAACTTGTGACACCGCACCCTCCCCTTTTTCCATGTAATTTTAACTTTTTTTTTCTTTTAATTTTATCAGAAATGGCACAATTACAAATCCATGGCTGGATAGAGTAGGTGGACTGTGAATTTTCTCTCCATTTTGTTGGGTTAAGCTCTGCCTTTCAAGTTATTTTACACAGAAAGACGTTCAGCTGCCTCTGATCTTCACGAGCTTTCTCTTGGTTTCTTTAGAATACAAAAAAAAAAAAAATGGCTCAAGCAGTCCAAAGCCCATTGAAGTCAATGGTCTGCAGAGATTAGAATGACTTTCTTGCCATGTGTTTTTGGGGCCGAGCATGGCCTTGAAGACTGGGTGTATTGGGGAGGAAGAACTGTACTTGGCCTTTCCTCTGTGTTCAGTGTTAAAGGATTGTTAATGCACTTTAAAGGTGTTTTGAACTTGAAAAACCCACCTAAAATAAAGAAACACATCTTATTTTTTAACATGTTGAACAGGCACCCTGTGGAGCTGAGAAGGGTAAAAGAACAGCCCAGGAGCTGGACTGACCGATCCCTGTTACATGGGCGGATTTGTTTCTCTTTGTACCTTGTTCTGCATTATCTCTACCATGTTCTTTCTTTGGGTTTCTCTTTACCCTCCCTTCCACTTTCTTTCTACAGGGAGACCTGGTAAGGACATCACGCTATTCCCTGGCCTGAGTTTAAACACGGTTAACACTGTGGACACACCATTAACCTAATCAACTTTCGCTCCCTCCTTCCTCCATCAGACTGACGTCCCCCCGTGATTGTTTTACCTCATAAATCTGATTTTCTGGGGTAGGAAACTTCAGAATGGCAAAGTTTGCCTGCAAATGAGACAAAATGAGTTCATATCCCTCTAAGTGCCTTGTAGAGGGACTGTAATGGAGGCTGCAGTCTCTGTTCAATTACTTATATTATTACAGGGGCTGTAGTCAAGAAAAAGAGGAAAAATTTCACATATCCTCTGTACAGGTCACTCATCTTTCATAGCCATTTACCCCTTATTTTATAATAGAAAAAAAAAATCACCAGAGCACTCATTCTTTTCTATTTTCCTGGTAGCCACAACAAATTCCTTGCACATCAAAGATAACGCACGGTCCTGTAACTTGAACTGGTCATGGCTTAAACCAAGAGAAAGATGGAAATTCACAGTTCTCCCCCTGCACACTTTTAAGGTCAGGTTTTTGCTTGTTTGTTTGGTTTTGTTTTATGATAATTGCCAGCCCTACAGTGCTGTTACCACTTCCTTTGTTGTCATCATCCTTGCTGTTGTGGCCAGCAGCAGCACAAGTTCCTCAGGGCCCCGTGGATGCGTTCGTCTCCAACCCCACCCACTTCAGCTGTCAAGGGATAAATAAACGTGGTTCCTCATGTTAGTTTAGGTCACGGCTGTCTTAGACAACAGGCCTCAGACATGGTGCTGGATCCACGTCCTCAGGGAAGGCCCCTACTGAAAAGGCACCACCCCACCACCAGGGAAGGACGGCGGGGCTGCTGATTTGCCTTGCCTTGTGACCTGTATTTTCAAGGGTGCTTTACCAGCATCCTAGTCTCTGACCGCCCCTATCCTGCTGCTGTGCCACGCTGTGCACACCCCGGGGGCTGCAGCAGCCCCCGGCCAGCTGGAGAGGCCCAGCTGGTGCTCGGCCTCCCCGCCGTGCTGGGTGTCTCCACCTGCCCCAGAGCACACGGCCTGTCACACCAGGACGATTGACACGAGCTATTGGTTGTGACGGACGCACACTTGACTAGTTTTGATAGTGGTGTTTTCTTTTGGGCGGATTTTAACAGATCGCTTTTGTTTAGCGCTCACCGCACCCTCATCTGTCACACAGTTCTCTCGAAATAATGTGGCCATACAAAGTTCCCAAATACGTCTGCATTTGAAGCAAGTTCTCTGCTCTCCAGACCTTCACATGCTGCTGTTAAGAGCCCAAACACCTTTATGAAAATAAAATCTGGAAAAAGTTGCTTCCTTGCTTGAGTGCAGATGCACAATAGGATCTTCCTTATTGCTTTCAACTGCCCTTGGCATGTATGGGTATTGAAGCTCAGACAAGAGCTCTGACTGCTCCGTGGCCTTTAAAACAGCTCCTTTTGGGTAAATGAAGATCCTGGAAGGGATGTAACAACCATGAGTAGAAGGCATTATCTATGCAGCCCCCTTTGTACGGGTCTCTGGAGAACCTTCCAGATTTTTCTCTTGCAATCACGATGGTAGGAGTATTACCCAAACAAACCTCAGAGCCATGGGGCATCAACAGACAGAGCAAAGGGGCTGGAGCCATGTAAAAGTGCAGTCTTGCATACACAGGGCTCAGTACTCAACAGTACACACATATTCAGGACTGAAATACAGATACAAGCCAGCAGTGCTGCTGGCAGCTGAAAGCAGCAGCAGATCAGAGAACTACCTGCCAGTGAGAACAATACATATTTTGTGGTGCCACAGTTCAGGAAAGAAACGACTAGCAACCTTCTTAGGAGCAGAAAAACAAGTTAACATATTGTTGCTGTACTCTGTGTATAGAGGCAATCACCAACTCGCAGGAGTTATATGGATAAATGGAATGGAAACCAACTAAAGGTAGCATAATACTTTTTCATGCGCAGACAGGTAATTATTATCCTCTCACTTTTTATAGAAATAATGCTTTTGAACATGTCAAAGAGCTGGAAATGAAATATGTTTTCAAGATTAAAGGGGACAGATTCCTGGGTGAGTGGAAAATGTTTGTGCAATTTTTCTCTTAAACTCTTTCCACTCCCCCCACCCCAAAAAGCCCCAGTTCACTTCATTTCAAGCCCAGAAATATTGCTTTGTCCTACTGCCTGCTCGGGGCCACAGAGAGCAACCTCCTGCTCCAAGCACGAATGTCACCAGCACTAGATTAGACCAGCTGTGGCTTTGTTTAGGTGAGTTAAGAGATGATTTGTGGCTTGGCTATTAACTACCAGATGTCTCTGTGCTGTGCTGGGGAGGGCATCCCACAGAGGTGGGCTCACTTCTTACAAACACAGAAAACAGTGTGTTTTGCTGGGGTTTGCTATGCCTGCTCCAGAAGTTTTATGGCTCAATATAATGTATTGCATGTGTACACATCAGCAAAGGACAGCCAATTAAGATATCTCATCACCGTATAAAGCTATTGGACACTAAGAATATTTGTATTTGTGGTCCCGCACAGCACCCGAGAGCGGTACTCCACAGAATTATCAAAGGAGCTGATTAGTGTAATGAATGTTGATCCCATCCAGAAGCTGTAATAAACCAGTTTGCTGAGCAACTATCACCTGATGACTGTGCGTCAAGGCGCGTTGTAATTCCTGGTAAAATTAGGGAAGGAGGCAAACTGTTGTTGCAAGAAAATAAACCAATGTGCTGAAATGCATGCTGCACGTGCACAGAACACCAAGCTTTGCTACAGTGTTCAGCAGGATCACGTAGCGATAAAGAGGGATCGCTGTCATTTCAGAATTGCTGCATGTGTCGTAGCACAGTCTTTAAAATGTCAGAGCCCCGTGGAAGCGATGGACTGGATCCTTAACTGATGCAAATCCCCAGAGCTGTCCTGGGTGCACCGTGTGGTACATTCAGGCATGAATTTTGACCACAAACAACATCATTTTTAGTGGAATTAGGCTTATTAAATAACAACTCTTTCTGGAAAACTTACAGATTTGCTTATCTTAACTTTCAAAAAGATGTCTTTGTCTAGAGAAAGGTTGGACTTTGCTAACTCCCTTTGCACAAAACAGCACAAGCCCCTACATGGCTTTGTGTGATTATTACATTAACACATCTCTATGGTTACACCACAGAAACCTTTAAGTGTGAATGCATTTTTTCCCTTAAGTACCAAGATGTTCCTGATAGAAAAAAAATGACCTCTTCTTGGCTCCTGAGATAGAGTCAGGGATGTGATTAATGCTGACTGCATTCCACTGTTTTTCCCTGAAGACGAGCTATTAATATCTTCCAGTGATGTATGTCCTTTCACTTAGCCACAAATGGGTGGTCAGCAAGGTACCTAAGCCCACATTTTGTCTAAGGGAATAATTTTCACAGTGCCATCCCACTAAGGGCCTTTGACTTGATGACCAAGGACTGTCCTGTGTTTTCTACTGCTCTGTCAGTACCCAGCACCACTTCAAGAATACATGAACGGAGCACCTCATCCCACCTTATTTTTTACAGTAACCCAACATATAAAGCAGGTCCAATGGCCTGTGAAATGGATGGTATTCCTAGATTCAGCAGATTACCTGGTTAACTCATAATGGCAGCCTACTGAAGAGCTTTACAGATTGTTTCATGCTCGGTCATGCACAGCCTTGCAAAGTCCATTTGATTTGGCTTTATATTTGGTTCCATCATTTGTATCATTAAGTTGGCCCAAGAAGTTGGCTAACACTATAAGAAAGATTCACCTTCCATTTGCCTTTAAGTGAGCATGTTAAAAGAGGAGAAAGGTATTTGAGGTCCAAGGCTGTGCATTATTACGCAAATTTGTATAACAAAATTAAAATGAATGAACAAATAAATAAAACCACAAACAAGCAAAACAAACCAAGATACCGATGTGTGGGACAGATCAAAGAAAAGGCTTGAAAGTTGAGATGGTCCTTGACTGCTGGTAGCTTGGAAGGAGCAATGTCCTCCTCTTGTTGTTTCTCAGGGTGGGTTTCACCTCCCTTGGCAGCCAGGACAAGCTCCCTCCCTGCTGCCACCCACTGTCACAGCCTCCTTAGCATGTCCTGGGCATGCCTAGGCCCCATCCTGACCAGTGCTGTAGAAACACACAATGAGAAAAAACTTGGCATAAAGAGCTTTGTTTAGCACCAAACCAAATGGTTTTTATTGCAATTTACATTTGCTTTTTCTCCTTGTTCCCACTGTTATTCATTATAGCAACCTGTGTTTCTTTTTAAACTAGATTGCAAGCTGCACAGGTGTGGGGAAACCTGCAGCTGAGCAACACCCTGCACAAAAAGGAGCCAGATGGCCTGGGGATATCCTCACAAAGTCAGCTTGATAAGGGATGATGGGGGCAGCTGTGAGGTAGGTGCTGTGTACAAGTGGTCCTGCTGGCGTGGACCCTGTAGTGTTGGCACAAGCAGGCTTGGGGCTTCAGGAGTTAATGTCTGCCAGGGGATTTTCTGTCTCAGCTTTCACTCTTTATATTTAAGCTCTTACATGACTCCAGAACTGGATTACAGGTTCTCTGGGTGCAGTACTACATCATTTCGTCTTGTTACTGAACTCCTCTGTTTCCTTTCTGCCCATTAATTTCTCATTCTATGCCCTGCTGCAAGCAACTGTGGTCTCCAGAATGTTTTTGCAATGCATGTACTTAAGAATGTGATTTTTGTAATTCACGCGGGTAAGCGAATACATATACTCAGCACTGCAATGATTGCAATGTCTTCTCACTAATAGGTTTGAATGATGAGATGATCCAGAACATGTTTATCTATGATTTAGTATCTAGTCCTCTAATACTGTCCCAAACAGCCCAGTTCAGTTCTTTAATATCATCAGTAAGACTAGGCTTGCTGTTTTCCTCCATATAAACAATGGACAGTGTGTAAAATTCAGTGACCATGCCCATGGTGTCAGGGGGTCCTGGCTGCATCAGGGTTTCCAGAAAGTTTCAAGACCAAAGCTGTAAAGTACCAGAGGCACAGTCATGCATACTTTTCCCCTTCAACAGATTTTTTTTTTTTTTTTTTTTTTCTGAAAAGCCAGGACAAAACTGTTGTGTACATCTGTTCTAAAACTGACTCTTGACCGCTCTGTGACAAAAGGCTGTATTTCTACTTTTGTGTAATTCTGATAGAAGAAAGCGTAAACATTCTTCTCCTTTCTAAAATGCTAACAGCAAGTGTTGTATCTCACTCGGAAAAATTTCTTGAATACGCCTGTCCCCCAAAGGCATATAATGTTCCTGTTGCCAGGAGGCAATTGATATCTTCATGGGGAGGGCTTAATAAATGGAAGCACAGTGGTCAGCTTCCTAGAAAAATGTCAAAGAAGGGTAGGTGTCAGGGAGAAACTATAGTAACATGGGAGGCAGATGCAGAGAACTAGCGATGTATGAGTCCAGACTAATCAATTCCTGCCACAATTTGCCATCCTATAATTGCATGAGAATGAAGGTGAGCTGAAAACCTGAAAGGCTTTTAGAATAAGGAAATGAGTTGTGTCTTTGGAAGGACTATATCATTTAAGGAATATAGGCTGAAGAGATTAGGCCCAAATTTTCATTTACTCGTGGGATGATTTTTTTGTATTGCAAGGCCTGGTAATCATGAAAACGATCTAATTCATTTGTATTTATTTTTGTCTGATTATTTCCTCATGGTGTTTGCAAGCTCTGATTGCATGGTAGTGCACACGAGCTGGGAAAGTGAAGGCAGTTATGGTGAGCAAGTGCTCCTAGACACTACAATGATACAAATGATCATATAAATCAGACAGCTCAATGACTGATGCGAAATAGTGAAAAATAAACAAGATTTATTTTGAACTTAGCTCACTTGAGGTGGTGTAAATTTGACAAGTTATAAATATTAGCCATGAGGATATTTTTTCCTAAATATTGGCCATATTATGAGATTGATTTTGAAGTGTGACTCCATACTAAAACCAGTGTGTAATTCTGCCGAAAAAATGACTGGTGGTTTGATATAGCAGCACTGTCTATCTGGAATGCCTTTAATCAGGGAACAGGCTCCAAATCAGAGACAGCCTTGAGGGGCAACATTTACATTTGGATTTACAGCTTCAAAGAAACTTAGATTTAGAGTTTTCATCAGTCTCACTATATTTTAGGGGTATTTACAAACTACAGCTTCAGATAGCTGAAGTTGCAGTGGTTGGATTTAGTCCCTTTCAGTTTGGTGTTTGCAATTTTGAACTGGTATGTGAGGAGCTTTTTGGTCTCTCTTAACCTGCAGAGACCCGTTTGAGCTGACTTAATCTCTAATGCCAAAAGCAAGGCAGAGAGGTATGAGACTTCTTCCACTTTCAGAATCAATAATGTCAGCCACGCCAGGAGAAATGCAGATCCTTGAATTTAGATGTCTAGGGTAAAGTGTAGCTGTTCCTGCCTGTCTGATTCCTCTGGTTATTTGAAGCATTTTGCAGTGTGGGCACCCTGGAACGATGCTTGCTTCCTAATGTACCTGATGTTAGAGACCCTGTGCTCTCCATGCCGACCAATGTTAACAATCCTTTGTTAGCGTTTCTGGATAGCACTTGAGTTCTCCTTTAAGCAGGCAAGGCTGGATATTAGACTACAGATAGTGGATTTCAGCAAGTTTCGTACAAAAATGTGCATCTTTGGGGTTGTTGTATAACATTTTATGTCTCAGAATGAAAAAGATGATCTATGCTTATTCTTTAGGAAAAACAGAAGGTTGTTGTAGGGTTCAGGGAAAATAAACACAGTGGAGTGGGATATTTACAAGGTGGATTCAAACATACATGGAAATTAGAAGTATATGGGGATGAAGGTGAATAAAGGAGACAATGTGATCAGACATGTCATATCATTATCCAAACAAATCCTCAGTTTGGAGCTGTGTTCATTTGGATTTTCTTTTATACACACAGCCTGATCTTCCAAACTGATGCATGGAGAGATAGCAACAACATGTCTTCATTGTCTTTGGAGGCTGAATTACATTTCTAGAAGCTTTAAACTATGTTAAGTCCCATCTTCAAAATAAACTTTCCTGGGAGAGGAGTTGCAGTAATTGCTACAGGGCTATTTCTGTGATGGTAATGAAGGATAAAGTGACTTGCTGGAAAAAGAGGGAGGATGAGACGCTAGAAAGTGTCTTAAGTTATCATTCACTAGATGAAACATGGGAGCTTGGGAATCCCCCTTCAGAGACTTAGTCCTACCATTCAAGCATTTGGAAGATCCCATTAGTACGGTCAAGTTCTCATTAATAGCTTGTTTCTTAACCCACAGAGATGTCAAGGTGATCAGATCTCAAGTCGCTATCTCCATCAGAAGCAGAGCTTCTTTGTTCTGCTTGCTCCTGGCAGAGGTGATGCCAGGCCAGGTAGCTCATGGGGAAGGAAAGCTCTCAGGGCATCCAAACGTCGTGCAAACACAATCCTAATAGCTACAAGGTGTGTTGCAGAATACAAGAAACGGGGCCCATTTCTTCTGCTCACTCAAGTGTTAACTCTTGTCAATGAGAAATTAAAAGAATAGGACCTATGTGAACAAGGGAATACAAGTTGAAATGGGGTTGACCCACTTTCTTTCTTCTCTTACGTGGCACCTCCTAAATCATGCCAGTGAAGATGGATTATACTTTCAGTCATGAGATAAACCTGTAAACTAGTTCTTGTCTGCAGCACTTGTGTATTATAGATCTTGTGTCTCCTGAAAGATGAATAATTACAGTCCCTGGGGAGATACTCTTTCGAAAATGCAGTCATCATGGATTCTGCAGTGTGGGATCGCTGTATGGACAACAATGATAAAACGAAGAGCCTTCTTGTCCCCAACAGGCATGAAAGTGAAATGGGAAGAACAAACAGCTCTCATTAGATTAATGAGTGGAGCTTCCAATTTATGGACAAGTTTCTGTTTCCCTCGCTTTGATGAAATAAATACCATTTGATGAAGACTGCTAAGTACCGTCAGACCAAACCGTGGCATAAAACGATTGCATACGCCTTCATTTAAAGCAGGCCTGCCCCAACACAATGTAGTATGGAAAGAATGGATCCTTCAGAATAAATTGACTGGATTTTCTTTGCCTCTTTTCCTATTTGGCAATCTGTCTTCATTGAAATCTTGGTGAATCAGATAACAAAACCTAATGAGCTGTGCATCATAAATCTGTAACTTATCTCATGGATGAATTCTTCACTGTGCATGCGACATTTACCCTATATTTAGAATTTCAGGCATACTCATTATCCAAGTGATACATGAAGAAGAGTCTGTAAGAATTCTCCTCTAGCATATGCTCTAAATATAACATACAAAAATGCTACGTAGCCTTTTTCTTCCAGGAGCCTTTTTTGTATAAATATTTGAAGTGTGTTTTGTAAAGAATGTAGTACATAAGGCACAGCTGAGGTTATGAAGCAAATGAGCATTTCAGGTCAAGATATCTTTTGGGATAGATGGAGAGTTCCTTGTTCCCATATACTTTTCTGCGGCAGCTTGCGTGCAAAGATCACTGAGTGAAACGTCTCTGTCTGTCTCTGATCAGTGGCACTGAATCAGAGAAGTTACCACAACTGGTACAGTTGTTGCTCTTACTACCACCCTGCATGAACAGTGCCAGGTGTAATTGTTGTGGAGACCCAGGTACCCTCTCACCAAGAGGTGTCATGCACTCAAAAGGGAGCAGAGTGTAGTCAAGCTTCTATTGCCTTTGCCTACCAACAATATTCACCATCATGCTCCACTCTGCGCACACATCTCTCCTTAAACGCATTGGCCTAGGATTGATCTTGGTAGAACAAAGGAGACAGGATTTAATAACTATGCAAGTCAAAATGACCCTTCCAGAAAGGTGACAACAGCTGTAAGTGCATGGAGACACAGCGCTTGAAATCTTCGTGCAAATGCAAGGAAAGCTCACCGCTTTGCCTCTGGCATTTGGGCTCAAAGTGGGAAAAAGACCGGAGAAGTCTTCAGCTACCTCATTAAGTGAATGCACAGCTACTCTCCCAGGAGCAGGGTAGGGTGTTTGTCACTCTCTGGCTTAAATGATGTATTTCAAAGCCACTGTTGTTAGCTTCCAACAATGCCTCAACCTTGAAAGGAGTTTCTCTGAAGAAAAGCTTGAAAGAGGAAAGCATCTTCTAGCTCTAGGAAGACAAAAGATGATCAGCATTTACAAAGATTAGAGCCCAAACATAATAGGATGCTATTTAGGACAAGTATTTAGATTTTTATTACTGCTTGTACTATTGCTACTACCAGTATTTTTGTTACTATTATGAAGGCAAACACAAAAGCCCTGAGAATATGTTCCTCAATATACAATATCTAATCTCTCCAGAATGACAGCGATTTTACA